AAAAGAGCTTCTTTTACTACAACTTGTGATCTTCTGTTTCCCCCTGAGCCCTTTCCAAACACCACAAACTTGAGGGATTTGGCACAGTATGAAATTAGAAGGTTTACCTCAGTGCTGTTCAGTAGTCTGGGTGAGGAGTTACTACAATTTTTACCTCTAATGCTGTTTACTTTGAGCAGTTTTGAATGCTGACAAAAGATGTTCTAAAAACGCTGTCAGTATTAGAGCCATGGAAATGCATTTTCAGGTACTAAAGATGAGGGTGACAAAGCTGTTACTGGCCCCACCCTCTGCAGTTAAGACTAAGCCCTGGCAGAGAGGTGAGGATGCCACAACGTATCAGACATGTTGGTTTCTATAATCCTCAAAGACACAAATAGAACATACATTAATTGCATGAGCATTTCTCTCCTGTGGCTACACCCTGTCTAGTTTTGTGAACCTCTGAACCAACAGCCCAGTACCTCTTAGCAGCTACTCTTACTTTCTAAGGTCTCCCACCTGGTAGAGACCCAAGCTGTGGGGTTCTGGAGGTGAGGACAGCTTTTTCAGGGTTGCCACTGCCTCTGAACTAATTTCCATCTTCATTGTGCACGACAGTCTTGTCAAAATGCACAAACACTGTGTTATTATTAAAAAAATAAGTCATGATCTAGAAACAGACCAAAAAGACCCAAACATGTAAAATAGCTTCATTATTTTTTCTGGTTTTTTTATTTGTTTGTTTTGGGTTTTTTTTGTTTTGGTTTGGTTTTTTCTTTTTTTATTTTACAGTGTTTGGAAGTAGTTTAACAGTCTAACAGAAAGGCATGACTGCTCTTGTTTTTTTTGGTTTTTTTTTTTTTTTTCTTGGCTCTATACTTGACCACCTCCATATGCACAAGACATTTATGTTCTCCAGGACTCCAAATGTTCTCATTATACAAAGCAGTGTAACAAGGCTTACCTGTTTACTAGTGGTTTTCAAAAAGGCAGGAAAAGTAAAATAGCAATAGAAGGAGCAGGTTTATTACAGTCCTTTGAGCAGCAGCATGTGTCAATTTGTGACAACATGGAATCTTCAGAAAAACACACAATGCATAAGGTACTGTACCTGATTTCTCAATATTGTCCTCTTCCTACAGTTCTTTCAAGGTTTCATTCTATGCAGATGATGAAGTATGACAAAAAAAAAAAAAAAGTTGAATGCAAACATTCTGAAGCTGCCCTAATAAAAAGTTCCTAAGCAAGTCTGTAATATAATGACATATGTAGCAATGTCTGGCTGTCCAAAATACCTGTTGGCACTTTTGAGCATCAGTGTTTCTGGTTGTTTCTACCTTTGCCAGCCGTAACCAGTTAAAATTCATGAATTTTCCAAAGCCAATAAATTTGTTAGAAAAAGACTAACAAGACTGTGCTTCCCAACTAGGTGTCATACATGGCCTATTTTCTAGGGATGAGACTCTGGTTATCTTTGGGAGGGTACACCCAAAACCAATCAGGTTTGCAGCCTCTGAAGAATCTCAGACCATGATTGCCAAACACCCCAGTGGCATTGATCACGCTGTGGCCACTCATCTCTGCGATCTGCTGATCACAGTGCATGTCACAGCCCCACCTTGCATGTTTCCTGATGCCTCGGGAGTGACTCACACATCCTTTCGACTTTCCCTGAAAGGAGATTCTGTCGCTTTTCTGTGCCTGGGGAGTTTCAGAGACCCCACTTACCTAATTTCGAGTGAAGACCTGGAAATGACCTCACCTCATAGCCCAGTATCACATTAATTCTTACTGGCTTCAGAAAGAGCTGGATTTATTTCCTTGGATCTGATTCCAAATTCACTGAAGTCAATAGAAAATCTCCCCCTGGAGTCAATGCCCCTTGAGTATTTTAGTGAACTAATACTTCATTCTCCAAACAGATCAGGATCCAATGTAAATTACAGAGCAAAAAGTAAAAAAATACAGATCACTTGAGTTTTCCTAATGTAAGCTTACATACTTTTTGTATGTAGAGTTTAGTGACCAAAACATTTTTTCTTTTTGCTATAAAGTAGAGCCAGTAAAGTGCTATTAGCATTTAAATTATAATTTCTCTGAGCTGTAATTATGCTTTAGTAAGAGAAAGCCACATTGAGCCTACACTGCACTGCCTAATCAGCAGTCAGCTATTTGATAAGAGGAGGTATCTCCAACAGTCGATAAAATTATCCTGTTTGTAACCAATTACCTTTAGAGCTGTGTGCTGAGGAAAGGTAATATAGAATAGCCATTGAACGTGGTCACATATTTCAGCACAAAGAGGTAGAAGCACCACAAAAGGTACAAAAATGATACTGCCTCCCAACACCCCAGACACCAAGGTACCTGTGTCATAAACTTCAGCACTCAGGCCCTTGTACCTGTTTAGCCTCATGTCTGCTCCAGTGGTTTTGATTCTACTGAGAAGATGCCCTCAAAATAATGTGGAAAGAGGGTAAAATTAATTCTGCTGTGAGTGGTCCCTCATTTCCATTGCCTTGCTGGTGAGTGACCTCATCTAGAGCAACTCTCCTTCAAAAATACTGAGCATCATTTAAAAAAATCATTTCTTCACTTCTGTAAATCTGGCAAGACCACAAAGTAGCAAGGTCCTTATTAGCCCCTGCAAACTGGAGCCAAATTAAATGTTATCCTACAAAAATCTGCATGATGCCTCTATGTTTGTAGCAGAGTTACCAAAATACTTTCTACAGCTGCTAACTCACATTTTACTACATGTCACAACATAACAGTGCCAAAACACACTGTGAGAGGCTCTAATCCACACAAGTACTCTAAGGCCATTCAGCTCCTAGATACTAAAGGTTGTAGCTATTTTCTGATAAAAATATGCCTATGTGGTATTTGAAGGTGCTTGTAGAAAGAAGGAGGGCAACTTTCAGTAGTAGTCACTCCAAGATTTCAAAACTGCTTAGATTTGTAAAACTAGGCACAGAACAAGGATCAGGAGAAGAAAGGGAACTAGCTGTACCCAGCCTGTTCTGTTCCTCAACATTTATGTATTAAAAAAATAAATGAAATAAAGGCAAAAGCCTATCATAAAGTTTATTGGTCCCTTTTATCAAGGCTTACGTAGGTCAGCCTGACAATTCCATAATGACAAGAGAGCTCTTCTCATCTTGACAAAAACAGTACTTTAACACAGAGTAAGAGGGTTTTAGTAAGGCAGGCATTTCTGAGCTTATTGATCCTACTCATCTTTCTGGAAAATGCCATCACTTGATGAAAGCCATACAAGAAGTTCATAGCTGAGACTTTAGTCTTGCCAAGTTTTCATATTGCTAGGCCAAGCTTCCCTTTTGAGTCTTTGCCAAGTGTATCAGAAGAATATACTTATCATCAATCAGAAACCACAGAAAACCAGAAAAAGAATCAAGACAAATGCTGCAAAACTCAATTTGGGCTGCACCAGGAGCAAATCCAAAGAGCAAAACCATACTCCTTTAACTTAGACCCCTCTGAGACAGCAGCAGAGCACTGGAGATGAAAACAACACACAAAACCAGGTACAACACAAACACAGCTGCACAGAGAGACAAAAACACCAAGATAGCTCACCGGCAGTTTCACTTCAGTCACACAAAGTTTTCAAACAGTTTCACTTACTGACGTCTCCACATGCAAAAGCAGAGACATTTTTTTGTTGTAGAGTGAACTGGTAAGAGGAAGCTTCAAGTCTTTGGGCAGGATGTCATTCTGGTTTTATCCTGTACTAAAATAACTTGTTTTTCTAGGGTGCTAATGTATCTATCTTTTAGAAAGATCTATGCATATTTTTAACTGAATAAATAAACTCAAGGCTCACAAAGCATTTCCAGTGTACCATACCTATCTTTTTTCTTCCATTTTGACATTACTTCTACACTTTGGAAAGCCATCTTAAAGCCTGCAGCCGGCTTTCCCGTGCTTCCTCCTGGGCAATCTGGCCGGGCTCTGGCACTACCTCCCATTTTGTGGGTTCCCACAAAGCTGCGCTGCTCAGAGACAAAGCACCCGGGACTGCTTTTCCCCGAGCGAGGAAATGAGCATACTGCAGTACCAGGAGCGAATCTTCAGAGCAACCTTGAGCAAATAGAGCAAATCTACTACGTATTCCAGAAAGGAACCAAAATCGAAAATAAAAACTAAGCCCATGATCAGTGTAGAACCTTACGAAAGTATTTATTCTATATAGATAAGCATTTTAATAATAATAATAATAATAATATAAGCTTTTTAATTTACTGAGGAATTATCAGAATTTATGTCAAGCACGGAGTATTTCACACGGCCCCTGGATGCGAACAAAGGTCACTATAAAGCGCGAGCATTGCCTGCGAGCATTCCCTGCCCCTTTATGTCCGCTCTCAGCTCGCCGAGCGGGGAGTGGAAACACCCCCGAGGGAAGAGCCCGGGGCCACCGGGCCGGGGCAGAGACCCGGGGCCCGCCCCGAGGCTCCGAAGGTCAGCGGCGGGCGCGGGAAGCCCCGAGCCGGGAGGGCTCCGCTCCCTGCCCGTGTGTCACAGGACAAACACGCCCGGGAGCTCCCGGGATGAGTAACACTTTCCCCTGGGCGGCGGGGGCCGCTGTCCCCCGGCTCGCCGCCACCCTCCGCCCAGGCGGGGCGGTTTCACTGCGCGGCTGCGGAGCGGGCACGGCCGCTCCCCCATGGCTCCCGCAGGAGAGGCGCTGCTGGGGCCGGGAGCGGGCCCCGCCCTGCCCATCCAGTTTCGCCCAGGTGCGGCGGGAGGAGGGGGCGGCGGTGGTTTAAGAGCGCGCCCGCCGGGCCCGGGGGAGGAGCCGCTGCCGCCGCCGCTCCCCCCGCGCGTCCTCCCAGGTGTAACCGGAGCCGGGAGGGCGCGGCGCAGGCAGCGCCAGCACCTGCGGAACCTGTCGGGCGGCTCACAGCGCTCCGCCGCCGCTCCGCGCACACACCGCTCCCGCTCTGCCCGCGGCCCCCAGCACCTTCCCGGCCTCGCCGCCGCCCGCCCCAGCCATGAAGCTGCTCTGCGGGGCCGCGCTGCTGCTGCTCTGCCTCGCCACCACCGCCGCCCAGAGTGAGTGCCCGCACCCGCCCGTCCGCTCCGCACCCCGCTCCTGAAGGAGCTCCGCGTCCCGGGACCCTCTCCCCGCCCCGGGACCCCTCCGGGCCCCGCTCTCGGCTGGGCGCCCTGTGCCCCGAAGGCGACGCCTTTCCTCTGTAGAGAGCAGGAGCGCCCGCCCGGATAGCGCCCCTTTGTCCGCGCCCCGAGGGGAGCCCTGGCGCTCGGGGAGGGAGGGAAGGAGGGAGGGAGGCCGGGGGGACGCGGGGGTGCGGGCACGCCACGCCCGGCCGGGCCGGGGCCGCTTTGTCCTGCCGTGGCATGGCGGTGCCCCTCACGGCCGCGCTTCCCTCGCAGCGTGCGTGTGCGAGAAGAACAAGCGCGTCACCGACTGCAGGACGGACAGCAGCGGCCGGTGTATCTGCCAAGCCATCGGCTCCGGAGCCACCGTGGATTGCTCCACCCGTGAGTAAAGGGGCACGGCAGGGCGGGGGGCACGGAAGGGAGCCCGCGGAGAGCCGGGGAATTTGTGGGAATGACCGCTGAGCTCCCAGCAAACAATGGAGGCGAGGAAGGAGTTGTTCTTCCTGGTCTCCCAGATCAACTGGTGTTGGAAGAGAAGCGATCAGGGTTTCTCTGCTTGTACTGATGTGGGCTCACGCCTGCTCCTCAGTATTTGTCCTCCAGTGGCGAGAATTTCTTGGAAGATGAACGTTTAGCTTCCTTACAAGCGCATATCCTCACTTTTCCTACAAATCTAGAGGGGACAGAGCCTTGTGACAAGACCCCACTCTGGGTTCAAGCTCAGCTGTGAGGAACGGAAACTGTAAATCCCAAGGCTGGGCTTGTTGGCCTTTGCCTTGAGAGGCTGCCATAGCCCAGTTTATTGATTTTATACACGACCTACACATCAGCCATCTGCTCTGCCGTGCAATGGCTTCGGATCTGGTTGTCGCTGGTGTAACCCGGTGTTTGTGCGGACTCGGAGCTCTGCTTTGGACTTGCGTGCTCTGCCGATGCATAACGCGACTTTCTGGCTGTTTTTAGTGACTTCGAAATGCCTGCTGATGAAAGCAGAAGTGATGGGCTCCAAGTCGGGTCGTCGTGAGAAACCCAAAGATGCGTTTGAAGATACCGATGGTCTCTACGATCCCGAGTGTGAAAACAGTGGCGCTTTCAAGGCGAAGCAGTGCAATGGAACCACCTGTTGGTGTGTGAACACGGCTGGAGTTAGGAGAACTGACAAACACGATGCAGACCTGAAGTGCAATCAATTAGTCAGAACGATGTAAGTCTTTCAACAGGGTGTGCTGTGACACGAAAACATTCCTGTGTGAGGCTCTGCCTTGTGTGAATGATGCACTGGGGATGAATGAAGATGGAGCAATCGACACTTGGTTATTTGGCTGGGGTGTTTTTCCTTCAGAAACAAGGAGGTGTTGAGTGGGTTTGGAAAAGACTTTACTTGCCTTGTTTTGTCTCATTGTTCTGGTTTTTTAGCCTGGGGTTAGTTTTTTTTTTTTTTGTTGTTGTTGTTGTTGTGTTTTATATGCATGTACCTCAAGAATATTCATTGTACTTCAGGTGGATCATCATTGAAATGAGACATGCTGAGAGAAATACTCCTCTGAACGCTGAATCTTTAAAGAAGTAAGTGATGATAGTAATATGTCATGGTAGTGTATCTATGTCCCGGTAGATATCTAGTGTATTTCTAAATAGTTGCCATCAGCAGTAACAGACCTGTGAACTCACTTGTAAGACATTTTAGAAGCAAGCTGCAGATTCTTCATAGAATTGCTTTAATTTGTATTTCGAAACAAAGTAACTGCTAAAGAGATTCCCTTCAATTTAAAATTGCTAGTTTTTTTCTCCCCTCAAATCAATATACTAAAAGGAATAGAAGGTAATGAGTGAAACTGATCAGGAAGCAAACTGACAAAAATGGCAGAATGACTATGTAGAAGCAGCAGGAGGAAAAGGAGAGTTTAGCTTTTTATTTTTTTGTTTTTGTTTAAACCCCACTTGTAGCTATTGGATCGCCTCCTTTCCAAATCAAAAGCTGCTGCCCTCTAGCTCTTCTTCTGAGCTTTTCACACTGTAAAGCTCTTTTGTCTAACACAGGTGATTATTTTACAGTAAGTGCATCTTCACTGTTGGGAGTTATTGAACTGTAGCATGAGGAGAGTGCACTGGGTTTGGTTGGGGCAGAGTTAATTTTTTTGGTAGTAGTTGGTGTGGTGCTGTGTTTTAGACCAAAATGGTGTTGATGAATTCACCAGTGCTTTAGCTGCTGCTGAACAGCACCCTCATAATGCCAGGGCCTTCTCAGACTCTCTCTCTGCTGCCCCAGTGAGTAGGGTGGGGATGGGCAGGAGGCTGGGAGGGGGACAGGCTGACCTGAATTGACTGAACAGATAGCCTATATTGTACAATGCCACGTTCAGCAATAAATCCGGCGGAAAGTCTCTTCCCAAGTGGCCACTGCTCAGAGCTTGGCTGGACGTTGATCTGTCAGTGATGACTGACTGCTTTTACATCACTTGAGGTTTTGTATTTCCCCCACCCAGCCCTTTCACTTCCCAAACTGTCTTTAAAATAAACGATGAGGATTGTTTGGCTTTTTCTTTTTTCCCCCTTGCTTTTTCTCTTCTGATTCTTTCCTGATCCTGCTAGGGAGAAGTGAGTGAAAGACGAGGTGAGGGTTTAGGTGCTAGCTGAGCTCCACCCACCACAGAGACAGCAGGAGCAAACAATTGCACCAGTCTTCTCTACTTGTCAGATGATATATGTGACAAAATGCAGTTTTTACAGCCATGGCTTTGGTGTCCTTGCAGGTTTTTCACGGACACCATCACCAGTCGTTACCAGCTGGATGGCCGCTACATAGCCAATGTTCTGGTAAGGGCCACAGAGAGCTTAGCAAAGTATCAGAACTTCATTTGGTTTTAAAAACTCGTGTTTGACTAATGCAATACAGCATGAGTTCTAGTAGAAGCTCTCAAAATGGCGAGCAGTTAGCCAATAGCTGTAAACAGTTGGCTTGACTTCAAGAACCATTAACTTTATCCAGGATGCAAGTTCACAAACTGGATCATAATGTTGTGGTGGTTATTCAATAGCTGGATTTAAAGTACCTCCTTCATAATACCACATTATATTTTTTTTTTCCAGTATGAAAACCCTTTAATTACTATTGATTTGAAGCAAAACGCCTCACAGAAATTAGCTGGAGATGTGGATATAGCTGATGTGGCCTACTACTTTGAGAAAGATGTAAGTGTGTCATGGGTCAAAGCAGAGGCTGGTTTTGTGTCTTGCACTGCACTCGGGTGTGCTGGCTGAAGCCAGGTGAATTATTCCTGTGATGAGATAAATGCCTGACTGCAATGTGAATGAGCAAGTCTGTCTTTTCCTCTCTGCTTTAGGTGAAAGGTCAGTCCATCTTTCATAATAATGCTGGGATAAATGTCAGCATTGACAACGAGCCGGTGAAGCTTGAGAAGACAGTGGTCTACTACGTTGATGAAATAGCACCAGAGTTCTCCATGAAGTCCCTGACCCCCGGCGTCATTGCTGTCATTGTGGTGGTACTGGTAGCAATAGTGGCTGCAATTGTTGTCCTGGTAAGCTCCAGCAAAGCAGAATGGTGCTGGTGACAATTTGGGAAGTAACAGCACACGTGTTTGGGTTCTGATGGAAAGTCTTCCTTTGTAAATTGGCTTGCTCTTTCAGTCGTGGGAGGTGGGAAACTGGTGATGGGCACGCTGTCACTGTTTCAGGTTACAGCTGAAGGGTGTCACCCGGAAAACAAGTACTGGGAACAATTTACAGAGGTGCACAAAGTTCTTCCTGGTTTAAAATAGTTGAGAGTGACAAACAACCTCGTTTGTTCCTGCCTCACATTGGAAGGATAGGGAACAGGTAGCTCCAAGTTGGTGCTTTTCAAGTCAAAACCAGATAAAGTTACTTGTATTTCAAGACTTAAAAAATATTGCATCCTTCTGTTACAGGTCCTGACAAGGAGGAGGAAAGGGAAGTACGTGAAAGCTGAGGTAATTAATTTCTGTTCCTGGTGTATGTGTGGGAAGGAGCTTGACCACAATGCAGAAACTTTAAAGTTTGCTTTAGGTTAAAAACTGGCTTTGGGTTCCTCAGGTGTGTTGAAGGAGACTGAAAGTATTCAAATTCTGCAGCTACTTTTCACCTCTGTGTAGTTCTGCACTAGTTTCAAAGGCAGCTGGTGATTGCTTTTCCCAGGGCTCAGGGGGTGGGATTCGGTTTTTCTGCAAGTTCTATTTTACATTTGTATAGCAAAGGGCTGTGCAATCCACAGGAAGTGCTGATAGTCTTGTTCTGTGGCAAGGCCTTTATTGAGGTATTTGCATGGATCTCTCAGTTCCCATTGAGAAGCTGCTTCCCAATGGAATAGCAAATGGTGCTTCACCCAGGTGTGGAGCCTTTTGTGGAGGAATCCAAACAATGTTGTAGCAGCTAAACAGTATTGCCTGCTTCCTGCATGTGCCCTAAGTAGTGCTTTTCTCCTTTTTTTTCCTCTTTTTTTTTTTTCCCTCCTTTTTTTTTTCCCTCCTTTTTTTTTTTTCCCTCCTTTTTTTTTCCTCCTTTTTTTTTCTCCTTTTTTTTTCTCCTTTTTTTTTCTCCTTTTTTTTTTCTCCTTTTTTTTTCTCCTTTTTTTTTTCTCCTTTTTTTTTTCTCCTTTTTTTTTTCTCCTTTTTTTTTTCTCCTTTTTCTTCCCTCCCGTGGGTTTGTCACGATTGGTTCTGTTAGTGTTGCATCAAATCTCTTTGCTAATGAAAATCCACGCTGTTAAGTCCCAATGACTTACTAAGTCTTAAAGTTTAGGAACAGCACAGATATTGATGTCTCCTCTGCCTCCTCCCCTCCAGGTGAAGGAAATGAACGAAATGCATAGAGGACTGAATGCTTAACTAAATCAACTGAAGGTAAACCAGATTACAAGAAAGAAGACAACAAAAACGTTAGAGGCATGAATCTTAATTTCCTCTTGAAAGGGAGGCAATTGTGCTCACTTAATGATTGTTAAAACTCTTTAACAGCCAAGGCTGGTAACCATTCAGCTACTTCTACTATTTGTTGAGAGTTAAATGCTCCATCTCACTCAAGTAAAACTTAACTGTTGCTCCCTGATTTTATTTTTTTTATGATGATGAAACGAGTTAACAACTGCTGTTACTAGGGTTTTGGAGCATACATGCCTAAATGGTTATTTTACCCTTTTGGGAGTTATATTGAAAGTAATGATTTTGTAGCCATGTTGTAATGAGACTGTCTTCTGTGTAACTGAACACAACCTTTTTATGGCAGTTTGTACATATTTGAAGTTGCTGTAACTTTTTTATGACTTGAATTAATAAAACTTTGAAACAGGCTTCTAATTCTTCCATGGTGAAATGATAATCTGCTAAATTATCATGCTTACAAATTTGTAGTTTGATTCCTTAAAGCAGGAACCTCAGCATAGTTGAAAATGTTCTAGAACTCCAATTAGCGGTTTTTATTGGCCATCTAGTATCTCAATAGCATGATATTTTTTCTTAAAGCTGTGAAAAGTATGCAACAAAAGTGAAATGATAATACACAGATTGTTGTATTAAAAAATCAGCAGGCTGAGGATGCAGTCATTTCAGGAATTCACAGACTGATCTTTCCAATGCTATGTAGGTATTTAAAATAAACCTCTACCCTAGGACATCTCTGGTGCAGGGTTGGGGGTGGGCAGGTGAGAGCAGTTTTTACCCCATTTACTGTGATTTTGTCTGTGGCAAAGCTGCAGCACAGCAAGGAGCCGTTTCTGCTGTTATTGCTGTTCTCTGCCATAGCTGTGGCCCAGACTTCATGGGCTCTGAGCCTCCCAGGACAGGAGAGCCTGCTCTGGCTGTCAGGAACCTGTGCCAGGGATGTTGGCTAGCAATCCCTCCAGCAAATCTGATTTATAAAGGAAATGCTGTAACTCCTGTTGCCAAAGAAATAATGAGATTCAAGATAAGGAGCTGAATGACAAACCTTGTTACTAATGTGGCGTTTTGACCCACCCTGGCTAAAACAGGAAAAGTAGGATGAGCTGCTGGGAGGATATTCTGAAATGAAATGTGAAGCATGCCCCATCAGTGTGCCTGCTGGATACCACACGGATCTTGCTGAACTGTGCTGGTGTCACCTCCACTGTCACAGCTCACCAGTGTCCCCTCTGCCCTTCATCAGGGTGGTACCTCACATGCATGCATTGCTGTGGTGGAGATTGCCCAAAAATCCCAAAGTAGGGAATTTACTGGAATGTTTTGCAGCCTTTTCAGGCAGCTTTGTCAATGATAATTTCTGCAGGGCAGGCTCTCCCCCTGCTGATCTGTAGTATTCCTTTTCTCCCCAGGTGTGCAGGCTATCTGCTGAGGTGTGATGAATTTTGTACAATTCTGTAAGCTGTTAACCAAATAAAGCCAAGTTTTCAGTAAGTTGTTCTTGTGGTGAGCTGTGTGTATTTCTGTCTTCCCCAATGCTTCAGTCTCCATTTCTACTTCCTCAAATGTCTGCAATATGGTATCCTCATCGTTTCTTTCTTCTCCCCAATATTCTAATGCCATTGTTCTGTCTCCTCCTCCCTCCCTCCCTCCCCGTTTCTCACCAGGTTTTTTTCTGGCCTGTGGGATGGCAGGAGGTGTTGTGTGCTGTGCTTGGGCTGGAGCTGCTCATGTGCAGACTTGACTGGACAGGCTGGTCTGTGGCTGCTCTGTGGCCTGGACCTTGTCCCAGTTGGTTTGTTTGAACATCATCTTCTCCCTGCTTTTCCCACACTGCAGGGAGGCATTCAGATAGGTTTTTGTTTTTTTGTTTTTCTTCTTTTTTTTTTTTACTTAGTGGAGTTTTTGTGTCAGGTATGAAGCTTAGTGCTGTCACCTTGGTGCTGTATTATGGTCTTCTTCCTTGTCAAATTTTGCTGAAAATAGCCAAGGGATTAGAAAACCAGAAGGTTTACAGAAATTCTTTAAAAAGACAGAGTTTAACTAAATCCACAACTGAAACAAATGCACAGTTTCTAAATTCAGTTACTATGGTACTAACATGGTGCTGCTCAGCTCTCAAAGTGGTGATCAGTGATAGTTTTTTCATTAGTTTCCTGTTCTAAATATTGGCTTTTGTGTTGTTCTATTTACTAAACACTGCACTTTTCCAGCTGCATAGAAGCGTGTATTTATAGGAAAATGGAAAAGGATGAGGGGGAAAATACCTGAGAAATTAGTGTATTGGTATCCTGCAGCTTATTGTGTTTTATAGATTTTTATACCAAAAGGAGACTAATGTGATGAAATTCAAAGGAAAAAAAAGCCATTATCAGATTGTGTCAACTCTCCACATATGCATGTGATAGTTCTTTTCATATACAGAGCAGTATGGCAAAAAATGATTGCTACTAAAAATTAATATGGTATTAAATACAAAAATATTTAACGGTCTCAATTTTGATACTTGGACACCACTTTTAATACTATTGGAAAACCTTCAGCAAAGTTAAAAAGAGAATTTCCTGTAAAAGAAACGGACAAATAGAACTTAATAAAGGACTAGTAGTCTCTGCATCAATTTTTAACTAGGTAAATATTCTGATACTTCCATCTGCCTTATTCATTAACTTCCTTACGTGAAGGAGCATATTTTTAAAATCTAAAGCTCTACACAAAGCTGAGATACCACATTTCCTCTCTTTTCACATAATGCCAATTTTGAGAAAGCATGTGAAGGACAGATTGAAGGTGTATTAAGACTGGATAAATGAGGGTTTTGTGTTACATAGAGGGGTAGACACGAACTGCAAGAAACCCTAGTAATAATACATATCTTAGTGGCGGTGTACAACACAGGAAAATAGTGTTTGTATAGGCAAGTGCAAATCTATTACTTCCTCATGAATTATTACACTAGCAAATATGTATTATTATTATTACTGCAGAGTAAAATTAAATATATGTTTATGTAAAGACAATGACAGACTTTTTAGAAGAGGGTATGCTAGTAACATATTTGAAAAAGCATGACCAATAAAGTCCATACAACTTTATTCTAAGACCTGAGTAATGCCAAAGCACATTTTCCACAGCTAGAAAATGAAAGGTCAGTGTTGCATGTGTGGGGTCTGTTGACTGTACCCATTACCCTCCTGAACAGTCAGAGTAGTTTGGTAAGAGAAAAAACACTGTTTGTGAACCATGTTTATTTATATCCTCACCTGCTGGACTTTGAACATTAGAACACAGTGACTTTGGATGACATGAAATAGCCAGAAAATATTCTAGGAAACTGAAAATGCTGGCAGCTCTGCTGCTCCAGCTTTACAAGTGCTAGTCAGGGAATTCTAGCAGCTCCCAGGAGAGGTTGCAGTCTGGTCCAGGTCCATCCCAGGGCATGCAGGCAGTCAGGCTCACTGCAGGGGTGCCCTGTGTGTTGGGAATTGTTGATCCCAAACCCACAGATTTTTATGATCTTCGTTAAAATCCTTGTCTTAGCAGGGACATGCAAGGGCAGACATGCACAAAAAGGAGGTGGTCTGTGATGGTGGAGGAAATGCTGACTAGTTTATAGTGTGTGAAAAACCTGACACATGTAAGAAGTGATTTTTTTCCTCTACTATCCTCGAAACACACTGCAGAATTCACACTTGCCTGCCAAGTAGAGCATGGCCCTGCCAAATCTGAGTGAAAAAAGTAAACAGAAGAAAGTTAAAAGGTTCTCAACAAGGCAACAGCCATATTTTCTGTTTTCAAACTTATGGTATCTAAATATTCTTATCCTGTTAGTGTTAAGTGTCTGCTGCAGGGACGTGTGGCATACACAGATACACATCAGTCTGATACCAGATTCTCTGGTGACATCCCCACCAGCTCAAAGGCATTAGAGCTGCCACAGATCACAGCTTATACCAATTAACCACTGGTGAAAATAATTTATTTTTTCTCTTTTTTTCCCCTGTAAAGTGGTTAAAGGACATCCATTTTCCTAACTGAAAACCAATTGTAACTTTCCTCTATGTGCTACTTATGCCTACGAAGGTTTGTGGTGGTGTTCACAGGGGTCCCAGGATGAGGGAAGAGATGAGAATCTGACTCCATGTTTCAGAGGGCTGATTTATTATTTTCTTTTATATATATTATATTAAAAAAATTATATATTAAAACTATTCTAAAATAATAGAAGAAAGGATTTCATCAGAAGGCTTGAAAAGAATAGAAAAGAATGGAATGATAATAAAATCTTGTGACTGACCAGAGAGTCCAAGACAGCTGGGCTGTGATTGGCCATTAATTAGAAACAATCACATGAGACCAATCACAGATCCACCTGTTGCATTCCACAGCAGCAGATAATCATTGTTTACATTTTGTTTCTGAGGCCTCTCAGCTTCTCAGGAAAAAAATCCTAGCAAAAGGATTTTTCATGAAATATCATGAGTACAAAGGCAAAAAAAATTAATTCAGGTCTAGATTAGCAGCAGTTTTCCACCTGCCATGGGCATAACAATTACAGATATCTCATTCCTGTTGCTGCTGACAGGCAAGAGGAAAAGCAGGGAGTGTTCTGGTGCAGCACATGGAAATAAAAGGTCCCAGCTCAGAGCTGAGCTGTGCGGAGCTGCACAGGAAGAACAACAGCACACAGAAACAGGCAGAGGCTACAGGGGAAGGCGATGGGTTGTGAGAGACAAAGTTTAAAATTGTCACAATTTTAAACTTTGAAAATTTAAAAAGGGTCAAAATTAAACCTTAACAAATATACAACAAAGGACTACATAAGGAAAAAGCTGCAGTGCTGGGAACTGCCCCTCAGTCATACACATAGCTTGTTCATCCTCAAGGTGGATGCTCAGTCTTTTATACCCCTGGGGGTTGCATCAGCCAGCCCTGGCCCCTCCCAAAGTCTGCCAGTCAGCTCTTCTTTGCCATTTATCAGTGGACATGTCTTTCTTGTAACTTGATTGGAGGTCAGGTGTTGCCATGCTGCACCCCCTAAGCAACAAGCCTTTCTGTGAAAAATGCGTATTTTGTGATTGGCTTTTTGCAAATATTAGAATGAATATTATATGTGTTGTGTTAGAAAGTTTTGCTGCATTAATTCTCTTAAGTTGTGTGTTAAATATAGATTTAGGTTATAACAAAGTGTTAAAATAGAAACTATGCTATGTAAGATGCTTTTTTCCTAAAGAAAAGAACTCACACCAGATAGCAGCCACAGGACACCTGAATCTTTCAGAGAAAGAGAACTTATTGCTGCACTGTCA